GCGTGGGTGAATGGGGTCTTTCGGAATAAGCAAATATCTTACTATTTAGCGGTTGATATTCATTCCTCGTCTCATCTCATTTTCCGAATACAATTAATCTCTTTCCTCCTAACCTATTCCATACATGAGTATGAGCAATAGAAGCAATTTCACCTGGAAAAAACCTTTGATAGGTCCACAGTCGACCACAGACAGTTACGGTCAGTTCAGTCGATGATACGTTGTTGTTGCTGTTGTTGGATTTATCGAAATCTTAAAAGCTTTTGTTGAAACACCTCGTGTGACATTTGACCAATAGACGTTTATCATCATTTCTCTAATCGCGGTTCATGCTTTGCTGACAATTCCCAACAGCTATCCACTGTTCTTTGTTGGGAATTACACCAACGTTCTATCGCTAGTAACACTCATTCTGCGTTTTGTTTGCTACAGTCCTTCTCCTTACTCCGTCTATTCGATACGGTTCGCCAAAGGCATTCTGCAACCAAACCTCGTTCTTTACCTGTCTGTATTTTTTTGTGTTTTCTTTGGCGCTGACCAGTTGTCTTTTTGTTTAATCTCCAAGTGACATTCTCACATAATTATCACAGAGGTTGCACCGAGGTCTATCCAACACACTTCCGTTCATTATTTTTGCCTCCTTGTGGTCCGTTGCGGCCTGTTCGCCCGACTCTCTCTCTCTCTGTCTGTGGTTTGTCATTCACTCCTGGCACATACAAGTGCATACATTTTAGCCTGTTATCTCGCCCCGAAAACTTTGGTTGACGCTGTTGTTGGCGCTCGCTCATCCGCACGGGGAATGCCCATTTGTGACGGGTATCGGATAGGCTGTTTCTCTTCCCATCTTCACTCCCTCTGTCTTTCCGTTATTGTTACCGGCACTTTATGTCGGGCCTCTCTATTTTCCCCCTCGGTCCTATCAACCGGATTTGCTCCCTTTCTGTGTGTTTGTTTGTGTGTAACAGTCAGACGGACACAGTAAATAGTGTCCGATCTCATATGGCCTTGGTAATGGTGTGTGTGTGTCATGCTTTCATCATGACAACTTGTCACACACACACGCGTACAACAGATGCAGGATGCCGAGTCAGGCGCCAAAATGCGCCCGTCTCAATCGAAACCAGGTGACACAGTTGCACTGTTTTACGAAATTAATCCCTTCGGACTGGATAAGCACATTTGTGTAATATATACAGCTCGGAGGTCTCCAAGCATGGGTTTTACGTTTATCATGCCACCATACTGATGGTTCTCAATTATCTGAACGGATTAAATATCCGCCGTTAATTATCACACACACACGCACACAATATATATATATATATATATATAAAGTGTTGTTACCCTTCCGCCAATAGGTGAAACAAGTTTCAGATTTTCGTGGTCCCTTCATGAGTCCTTTGAAACGCTGTATCATGTTTCTATCAATTCCTTGCTGCGGTAAATCCAGTTTGGTGCGTATAACTGTTGTCTTCCCAATCACTTTGCCTTTGTTCTTTGAAACACCATTTGTTAGAAGCCTTGAAGTCCGTATTGCATTGAATTAGACCAAAGGTAAAAATGTACGCTTGTCGAAATGAGCGTCATTTGACATCAGGGATTGGTGAATTTGTGCTGCTGTCAAGTCGACGTTTGTGATTGTCGTTAGCACCGTCCCGCTATGCCTCCGTGATCCCATGATTCTCACAAATATTGTTATAAATCTGTTTGGCATCAGAATTCTCCATCAAAAACACACTGACTCATGCCACTCGATTGCTTTCATGAAGACAAGTTTCAGTTCAAAAGTTAGCTCCCTCTTCGATTCACCACCGGACACGCTACGAGGAATTAGCCAATGTGCTTCAGTGCACATAAGTGAACCAAAGATAAGGGTGGTGTGTGTGTGCATAAAATGTACGAGTTCCTATGGTCAGAAAAAGGGCATCAGGTGTCAGGTCATTGGTTATCTACGTGTGTTTTGGTCTGTTCACTGACGCTGTTAACGGCATTGGTGAAAATGGAATATATGTGCTTATTTCAGTGTCTTTAATTGTAATCTTTACCAGTATGTGTTCTGATCCGTGGCATTGTGCGTCATAAAGAACACTTCTCATTCAAAATAACTTCTTTACAAAACCAGTTATAATAGATCAAGCTCAGCCAAGATCTTATAGCCCCTTGTAACGTGTTCACATAACTCGAGCGCAGGGAACAGCTCAGTGTCGCCGGCGAACCACCTTTAACGAATGTTCTTTTTCCGCAGTCGAGTCAAATCACTCGATGATTGGTAGCAGACACCCGTAACACTTGCAGATGAATTCTGATGGTAGATTACAGTGGGTCCGTGATTCGCATAATCCTTCAAGAACTATTGAAACAGGGCTATATTTTTAAAGGTAGTCTAGTTCGCTGGAAAAAGGAAAGGCACTTGGTTGCTGGGAGGAGTCAGTTTTTCTGTGCTGGGCTTAATAACGGAAATTTAGGATATACAGTCGACCTTTCGGCAATGAATCTCTGACTTTGTACCGACACAGAATTTGGAGCAGCAGTTGGGATCGTCTGTTGGAAAGTTCAACTTCATTCACAGCCCCATCAAAGACTATTGAGGATCGAAACGATAAGACAAACAAATCCAACTTCATGCATGAATTGCAAGCATCGGATATTTAAATAGAAGAGTCTAGACATTTGGAAGATGTGGAATAGTTTTGAGCACTTATTGATTTCCATCATTGTCTTCTAAATACACTGTTCTTGTCTTTCAAACTCCCCACAATACGCATACGAGTAAACGCAATGTCAATATAATTTCACCGCTCGCCGCACTATCGCCTCGTATAAACGGGTAAATTTGTGGCATCCAGGCTGGCATACATTCTTTTCCTGCAATATAGCTGTTATCCTTTTTATCCCATAACTTCTGTCTGTTTCTCTCCCTCTGTTAATTCCGATCCCAGCATTACCCCATCTGCTTTGTGCAATCACCACAGTCTCGCCAGATGCTGTAATGCACGTACATTTCGTTATATCATTCTTTCCATTAAGTACGGAAATCAGGACACTAATCTGTGTGTGTGTCTTATTTGAACCGTCATCATCGCCGCCAACCTCAACCACAACATATCAGTCCCGTAGGATCCGAGATTTTTTGGTATCAGGTCACATTGTTCCCTGTTTAAGTGTTTATCAAACGTGAGTCAAATCGGTCATTAGGTCATGAGGGACGCGTGTATACAAGTGATTGTTTCCTCAGAAGGGGACTGGAGGAACAACCACCCAGATGACCGATGAAAGATACCAGAAAGAAGAGCATCGAATCCTTAGAAACTGGAATATGAAAAGCTATATTTCAATGTTCCATTCTATATCATCGTGATCCGGACTGTTTAGCAGGGCCAGGAGTCTAGATTAACCCAATAACCATTAGACCTATGCACAGTGACTTGCTTGGGTGATAGGTTTATTAGACATCCTAAGCATGAGAACCCCGTCAGAAGGGCGTACGATCTGACCTACCATAAACTGGTTCTCATTCGGTTGTGGACTCGAAGCCTCCTCTCTCCATCTTGCAGATGCGACTGTTCTGTTCAAAGCTCAGCATGAAGGCCTAAAAATCACTTTATTCCTTTGAGTTGGTCGATCGAATGGTAAAACATCCCACGAGATACAACTTCGCAGCGTATTATTATTATTATTATCTATATCGATACATTCTAAATTGTACAATTTATTCCCTGTGGATATCATAACCGCTCACTGCTCTGTCGAAGAAAATCTGATCTTTCAGTGAACGGATTTCTCTGAGTGTCAAATAGGTGAACTGTATCGACGTACAACAAGAATTCATCGTTTCCAAATTGTTAGCCCGCCTCGAATTGATCAGTTTTCATCGATACTTCGTTCGTTTTACACCGTCTTTGTATCGTTTTTACGTGCCGATTTCTTTTTCAAGCACAAACACGTGCAGTGTGCTTGCTCGATTCCCTCCTCCCAATACAGTACAGTACCTCACGGTTTTGCTTTCCCTGTTCGTGGTTTACTCCAGTCGGTCACCTAGAAACATCATTTTGGCGCTGCTTCCTTTTACTCTCTCGCAAACTGTGAGGTCAGGTGTTATGAGCCTCATTTATTCGGTTTGCCTATTCGTTTGGATTGTACTGACTGAGTTCTGGCCGCTCACCAAGCCCACACTCATTACATCAAGAATGTTCCCCTTAAGTGATTAAAAGTTCATCAGATTACCTTTATCTCATCAGTATAAAACGCATATCATTTGTTTCGTTCCACTAATTCTCATAAAATTTAACTGAATGTAAAATACCATCTGGACTGTTTTGATATGCGAAGTCGGTGAGTAGAGGTTTCGAACCTCATGGTTGAAAATAATTTTATTGAATGATAGTCTGATAGAAGCACCATTTCTAGTAAAATGGTGGCTTGTTTTAGTTGATTTGCTAGCTAAAGGATAATATATTTTGTGACTTAGTTGACACTCCGAGCGACGTGTCTGGCGTGTGATCAACTGGAAGTATTTTTGATAGACATTCCATGATACTATTCACTACACCCGGGTGTTGGAACAGCAACACTGACGTTCACGTGATTTGGTGACGATGTGAACGTATCGTTTTTTTCACGCATGAGCGTGATATCACGGGTTTCTTTCTAGGCATTGAAGGAAACTGCTTATTGATGACCGATGTGACACTGCAGAATACTCTATAGCTGCTGTGTCTGAACTGTACTAGATAATTTCCAGTGATACATGAATGCGTGTTTTGGGGTTTTCCCTGGAGGAATATGTTGTTAATTGACCAGTAATAAATGTATAACCCTAGTTTGCGCTCTGTGCCCCCACCTAGTGTTTGTGTGCGTGACAAGTGCAGCTGAGGTGTATTGATTTCGTTACGTTATACTATTTTATTCATGGTCTCATCAAACGATTTCTGGTTCTGTCTTTTATCAATTCCTCTGTCTATCAGCTATTTCCTGGTTGGTCCGCACGTGATAACTATGCAATGCATTCACGGCGGAAAAAGAAACGGCGTCTGGCTGCAGCGGTTGCTGCCGCACAACAAGCCGGTGCGCGTGGTTTTGGTAAATCCGGTACAGGTGGCACAGCAGCGGCAGGCACTGGCATCGGTACGGGTCTGGGGTCCGCCCTGGGTAGCGGGGAGTTCGGTTCGGGAGATGTTTCCGACGAAACCCGGCAGGCCTTGGTCGGGAATGCCGGTCTCGGCGATCTAGGCAGCGCGAAAAAGTGTCGGGCCCGATTCGGATTAGAACATCAACATCGGTGGTGTAAACCATGTCGGTGAGTGGGAATTCTTGATTCTTAATTGTCCTCAACCCGCATATTGCCGAACAATTAAATATGCCTCCTATAGTCGTGATTATTCCGTTCGAATGACTATTCAAAAGCCTTAAACTGGATACGTAATTGAGCTGTTCTGATTGTTTACAGTACTCCGATCTCCTCCGACTCGAACTTCGTTTGGCATTTACCGAAATTGCTCCATTCTTGCCTCCGTTGTTTGGCATGGTAATCGAAAAATGAGGAAGCACTCATTATTTTTATGTCTATGTGCCGAACAAATCACGGTACCCTAATCGTTATAAGAAACAAATAAAGTCCATAATTCGCTCGTGGGCAGGATACTACCAAGTTGCCCGTGTCGGTGAATTTATAACCGGCGTGTTTGGGTGGCTAAAGCCTGACCCGTCACCGAGCGGCGAGACGGTGTCTGAGAAACGCAATCCATTGGAGTTCGATGTTCTGTTCATCGGGGCAGCCGTCTAAGGTGTTCAGTCTGGCCGGTGACTTCTTCCACGACCATACATGATCTTGTTATTTGGATTTCCATATAACCCTCTAGGGACTGAAACGGGAGTAATTCGTAGTCGAATTTCAAAGCGCATTCCTTTGGTATTGTAAAGCTGATGGTAATTTTTTTTATCCACAGGGGTTCCTGCACGTTGAAAAAATAAGATGTTACAATGACCGTCAAGGTTTAAACCAATTAGTAATCAATGTTTTACGTCCTCTTTCTGTTTATTCAATATTGAAATGTACAGTAAACTTTCAGTAAGGGGTCCGCGGTTGCACAGACTGCCTAGGGAAACACATACCGGATGGATTGGCGGTGGTATCCGGGTTCGAAATCAGTATTCCCAGTTGGTTGTTCCGACGAGCTCACCCCTCGACCATGGCTACCATAAATTCATTGAAATAAACCGTTGACACGTGCCAGTAAATGGTTTGTCTAGAAATTGCGAGACAGTTGACAAGCGATAGTCTTACTTACCCCCTAATAGTAATAATTTGGTTGTTTCTGATTCGGTGACTCTTTAATGGAGTAGTCTGTCGGCAATGTTGAGTGAAACACAGCACACGAGAACGACGTAACCTAAGAACACTGGTCGCACTTAAACAAACCATCTTATCAGGAGTTTGTGTACTTCTGAAGTTGGGTTTGAATCCCACCCGTACCGTCGTAGTGACGCCTTCATGGTTACCACTGAGTGATTGCAAACAACTTTTGCAACACGAATCCTGGGCCCATCCGGTTACCTCCTTGCCGTGCTGTGGTTTGAGCAAAAGCAGTGAGATTTTCCACGAATTTGATTCACTTTCGGCAAAGTAAGCGCTCTTCGTGGTTCTGACCTATTCACTTCGATCGGGCTCAAATTTCGAATACTGCTACCCGTGTTTGAGGGCTGTCGTGGC